CAGTGGCCTGCCTCCTCACCCTCTTCACCACCTTAGAACACTCTTCCCCCTGTGATCTCAACTCTCTTCCTCTTACTTTCCATCTCTATGTCCCGTCCCACATGCCTCCCCTTTCACCTTGCTTCCCTGCTCCCCTTTTTTCTCGCATACTTTGATTTCGTAGACTTCCTTCCGAGTCTGCCTTCTCTAATATACCTCCTTGTTCTTGATCGATTCCCACTTGGTCGGGTGTGAGTGTTGTGGTCTGGTGTTTTCGGGGCAGGACCGGCCCAGACCCGACCAGTTTGTTGCCGGCCGGGTCTGGTCTGGCTGGGCCTGGTCAGTCATGTCCGGCCAGGTCTGGGCGGACACTTTCATCTTATGTGTTACCTCCCCTTTTATGGAGGTATGTAAGTTCCTGATTTATCCTCAAAACTTCAATTCCACTGTTGCTTCCAGTTGCTGTTTTTTCACAGACTCCGCCAACTGTTTTAGTCATTTTGGCCGTTTCTATAAACTAGCTCGGTGCTTGTCTGCAATGCAACGTCAGATTCAGAATGTTACGACAGATTGTTGTGTCTGAACCCTGTGACCACTCCCAATTACCGTAATTCAGTAACTGTCTCTATCGACTGATTCCTGTGACTGGCTGAATGCAAATACCTACATTCCTGACTGATCCCTGTGACTGTTTCAGGTGCCTTAATCGATCGACTGATTCATTCTCTGAAGGTCTATGGCAGACAGTTAAAGGGGTTCTTTAATGCCTTATTTACAGTGAGTTGTTATTGTAACTCATTCCAGTGACATTTCTCATCCCATCTTAACCTCCCCTCCTCCCCTTTTTTTGTTCCAGGCATGATTGCAGCAAGGGGGGCTGGATACAATCGGCAGCTTAGCAGCTGAGCTCTTCAACCACAATATCAAACCCCTTGTAACCTTTGCATACTGGATGGCTGCAACCTGTGCTCTTCTTGCGCTTGCTTCATTCCTTCGCTCGCTTTCTAGTGCTAGGACTCTGTTCCTCGACTCAATCCTATCTGTATTCCCTGTGCCAACCAACCATGCTCGCTGAGACGGAAAAATGCACCAGTTCTTCCTCAATGCATCTAACTCAATGTTTGTATTGTCTGATTGTCTAAATGGTACTTCCTTTCTCACTCCCTTCTAACCCGTGCCTCTCAACCCTGCAAATCGCCAACACAAGGCAGAGCCACAACAGCCACACCCCCATCAGGGAATTCATTAGCGGCAGCAGTAAGCTGGAGAGGCTCAACCATGTCTATGTATATTTAAAAGGGAAAACAAAAGGTAATCACAAAATAGCTGAAGGTGGCAAAGGAATCGAAAAGAAAACGATTACAGAAAGTTTTTGCTGTTTAGGATCAGTCTTGTGTTGGGCAAGGAATTGTCCTTCTCTTGCTTCAGTGACTTGATTTAGTGTCTTGTCATGACATATGAAGCTTGTTTTACTTATCCGTTCTAGCTACTGATACCAGTAGCGTGGCCTATTTTTGCGACTCATACTGTTTACTGATTCAAGTGACATGTTTCAGTAACTCATTCCAGTCAGTCATTGATTCCAGATACCTATTTTAGTTACTCATTTCAAGAGCTTATTCCGATAACTTGTTTAAGTGACACAGTTAGTCATTGAGTGCCAAGGCCTGCTGCAGGGACTCATTTCAGTCACCAATGTCATTATCTTGTTTCAGTGATTGGTTTTAGTCAATGAGATCAAGTGACTTTGTTTTAGTGACTCAATTCAGCTGGTTTGTTTTCAGCAGATATTCCAGTCGCTGATAGCAGCAGCTTGTTTCAGTGACTCAATCTCGTCTCTGACTCTAGGGACTTGTTTTGCTGACTCGGTCCATCCAGTTACTGATTCGATTCCCGGGAATCGTTTCAGTAACTCAACATTCAGGTCACTGATCTCCTTGACTTGTTTCAATGACAATATCGTCACTAATTCTGGTGACTGACTCTACGAACTAATTCCATTCGAATGACCTGTTTCAGTGACTCATTCGGGTCACTGATTCCAGTGACCTGTTTCAGTGACTCATTCGGGTCACTGATTCCAGTTACCTGTTTCAGTGACTCATTCGGGTCACTGATTCCAGTTACCTGTTTCAGTGGCTCATTCTGGTCACTGATTCCAGTGACCTGTTACACTTAATGATTCTAGTCTGTCACTATCTATACACCTTTTTCAGTTCCTCATTCCAATCACTGATTCCAGTGTCTTGTTTAGGTGACACACCAAATCATCGAGTCCGGTGGCTTGTTTCACTGAGGCTGAAGTCACCAGTCACTGATTCCTAGGACTTGTTCTTCTAGTCACCAAATTCCTGTGGCTTTGTGATTCATTTGATTATTTACGCCAACTCCTACCAGCTACTTGTTTTAGTAACTCGATCTTTCTACGAATCTTCATGACTTGGTTAAGTGTTTTCTTCCAGTCACTTCCAGTGACTTCGTTCCACTCACTTCCACTTGTTCGGAACAAGTTGTTCCACAGCTTGTGTTTGCAACTCCAGTCACTGGATGCCAATGCCTTGTTTCAGTCACTCATTCTAGACACTGTTCCTAACATCTTGTTTCGTGGTGGCAGATGTGAGTGCAGCAGAGGAGGCAGACAATGCGGGTTGAGTGAGGGGCAGAGTAGCAGCCATGCACTTTGACGACCACGGCAAAACAACCTGTAATCCTTTGCTCAATGCTGGAAGCTAACCTCTTCTCTCCTCTTGCATACTTTCCGCCCTGACGTTCGATCAGTATTACCTGCACCACCCATTCTCGAATCTGTTGGAAATCTGTCCAGTACTCTCCTTTGTATGTTGCATTCAACTTGATGTTATGTTTCCTCAACTTCCTGTAGGAGGGAAAATATAGCAGCAGCAGCAAGGAGGAAAGATCCCTAGCTGAAGAGGTCCATCAATCTAGATGGAGCATGGGAGATGGCAGAGTACAACATAAGGTTGTGGTGCAGAGTGAATTTATGAGCCACAAAAAATGCATTTATGGCACATTTTTATGAAGCTTGGATTGTAATGGCAATCTCCTACCGTATGAATCCTATTCCTCATGCAAAATGTTTATCAAAATGGCAGAAGCTGGAAATTCATGGGCAAGAAAGAAATGATTTTTTTTCCGTATAAAGTAGTTCTAGTGGTTCTAGTGGAAGAAAGTTGGGTTCGGTGAATAGTTTTAAATGAATACGCATAATTCCTTTTTGTAATTATCCTGCTTGCACACTGTTTTTGCACAAGCGAGTACAGATCAAGGTTCTCCACCACCCCCTTCTCGTCAACCCCTAAACCAAATCCAGCCTCGATGATCAAGCCGCTAGTTCCAGCTGTCACAATGATGGATCAACACCCTAGTTCGCTAAATAGCTTAGTGGGAATTCGAAAGGTGTAGCGAGATTGACAAAACGTCTAGTTTGTGCATGTCGGTAGTTTTAAGTGGTAACAACTGGTCGCAAACCTGTCCGTTAGAGTCGGAGACAGAAGGCGGGAATGGGGCGAGGCGCGGCGAAATCGCACGAAACTGAAAGTTCAGTGAGAACCGCTTCGAGTATTCCGCACGTAACTCTTTCCTGCATTCATCCCGCCGAGTTTGCCTGACGCGTCGTGGTAGCACAATGGCCAGCGAGGCACACTGCCACTGAAACCCCTACTCGCTGTTAGCGGAGGTACGAAACGCAACCATGGGCAGCATAGAAAATGTTGATATCGCTAGCCGACTTGCCCTGGGTTTCCTGCCCAGACTCTCCGGATTTCCAGTGCATGCCCCACCAGAAATTCGCGTGGGGATTCCACCCACCGAGCCTGTCCCAACCTAAAAACCGCTAGGGGGTTCCACCCACCGAGCCTGTCTCAACCTAAAATCCGCTAGAGGGTTTCACCCACCGAGCCTGTCTCACCCAAAAATGCGCTAGGGGGTTCCACCCACCGAGCCTGTCTCTCCCAAAAATCCGCTAGGGAATTCCACCCACCAAGACTCTTACGGATTTTCCAGAAAGCCTCTCCTTTCCCCTGGTCTCCTCTCCTCGCTGCTTGATGGTACATAGTCTAGCAGCTCATTTCGTTTTCTTCACCAGCTTCTTGCTCTGAAGTGATTTGGTTGGCTTTCCTGATCGCTTTTTCGATCGACACTGTTATCAACAAGTTCCTGAACCTGCTCTAAGACGCTGTTCTTAGACTGCTTGAAAACATCATCCTTCTCTGCAATTCTAACTACTTCTCAAGTCTTAAGCACTACGATGGCAACTGTCTGCATGGTGAACGGCAGCCAGCCCGCCAGCAATGACAGACGACCCAACATTGACACAAGGAGGCTTCGAACTACCAAGCAAGGCTTCAGTGCCTTCTTTGCTGCCATGAGATTTGGCAGATTCGAAGAAAATAACAAGCTACCGCAGGAAAGGTCCTTCCGTGGACCACTTGGGTTTTCTCCCTTGCGACCAATGGCTGGGAGTTCTCTACAAAATTTGGGGCCGCAACAACTATGCACAAAACCCACTTTGCACCGCCCATGCACACCGAGGACTGCCTAGGTAATGTTCAGAGACACGATAGACAATCCTAGGCAAGGCTGTCGAATGCCCACACATTGCACGGGCAATCCATACGTATCTTACCCCCTCCCCATTGTATTCACCCCCTTGCCCATTGTATGTCACCGTGGCTATGAAGGATCCGATAAATTGTACTCGTTTCTGGTCTACTCCTTAAGGTGTTTGGGAACCAATGCAAAACAGACTTGGAAGCTAAAAAGGGTCAGAAACCAGCACACCAGAGTTGTAACAACAACATCAAATGACAAAACAAAAGCACACGAAACCACGACACGAGGTCTAAAAGAAACATCTGAACCCGAATTCCCATGACAGCGGGGTTCAAGCACAAAATCTCATGCATGCACCACTATTCCAAGCTCCACGTACTTCTACCAACATCAAAGTGCACAGGTTCCTGCATTCATGCCATCCTTGCAAACGGTGGGCGGGACAAGACTCAACGGGGCTCCTCGCGGCAACCCTGCGCCCACTTGTTCAGAAACCAGTAGGTGGGGTGCTCAAACGACTGCACCATGTGCACGGTCTTCTGAATTGCATCAATGGGCACCACGTGGTACCCATTGTCAAAGACGGCAGGGTGCATGATCATGCACCCCGTGCACTCATTGACATTTTGTGGGATCCAGCGCCGGAAAAACGCCACCGCACGGTCCTCTTCGTCCTCAGCGGCACAAGCGGACGCCACGGACAGAAGGAGGTGGACGCGTCCATGCAGGGTTTCCCCCTGCTCGTCCACGAACTCGACGAAGGAGAACGCCGCCTCGCCATGCAGCACCGGCACTGCATGCACATAGTGCGGCTTGACGATGGAGTGGTCGAGTTCACGGGGAGGGAGAGCCAGCGCCGTGTGAACCTGGTATGGAAGGAAGGATGCCACACGCATAGACTTACACCCATGATGGATCAGGGTAGATGCGGGCCGTGACTAGGTCATGCATACACTACAAAGATACGGACTATGTGGGCTTTGGGTCTGGTGGCAAATTCATGACACGTGTTGGGAATGATTGGCTGCAAACAGCCATGACAAAAGTAAAGCACCCACAAGCACATACCCATGCCGGGAATGGCACCAAGCCATGCTGGCGCATCACGTAGGCGTATGGCCCAATGCCCTCTTCAAGGGGGCTGCATAGTACGCAGAGTACAGGTCCTGCGGACCAGCCGGGGAGTTGATCCTCCCCAGCATGCGTGCCTTGTTCCTGTTGAGCTGAGGTCGGCCAGATGCAATCGCCTGATTCAACAGCATAGTACAGCATGCAATGCAACAGTATAAGAGAACAACAAACCCATCAGCAGCATCATATAACAGCACGAATAGGATCAGCATGCAACACAAAAGGGGGACGTGCATCACAGGCAGCAGAGAACATCACAGGCATCAGAGAACATCACAGGCAGCATAGAACATCACAGGCAGCAGAGAACATCACAAGCAACAGAGAACACCACAAGCAGCAGAGAACATCACAGGCAGCAGAGAGCATCACAGGCAGCAGAGAGCATCACAGGCAGCAGGGAACATCACAGGCAGCAGAGAACATCACAGGCAACTATCTCGGATGTGACCACCGACACTGATATTTGTGTCCTACAGGTCCATACTGTCACCCACACGGCTACCCTCGCCACAATCGGTCGGTTTCTGGTCCAGTGCCAGCACTGTAACGACACAATATACATGAAATATGTGGTTCTACACAGAGGGGGAATGACAGATCGCATCACTAACGGAGTCACCAATGTCGGGGAATTTGAAGACCCCTTGAGAAACCAAGTGTTCTCACCCTTACGCTCCCTCACGCGTAGTTGTTTCCCCCACCCTGATGCGTTCACATCAAATACCTGCGTACAAGATATATATGACGGACTAATGACGTGGACCGCCAATCAGCAAAGAAACGGCATGCTTAGAGTCGTCGTAGGATTCGCGCACGTACCACCAACAAGAAGCTTGACGCAACAGTTCGTTTGCGATGTACACGAAGGATATTGCGCGTCATCTATGACGAGCTCGCCGATGTGATCACCCTTGAAATATCGCTACGTGTTTGCCAGCGCGACACGATGTCCAGAGTCGACTTGTATAGGGGGCTATTAAGAGCTGTATCCGTGTCAGCAGATGAAAATATCTTCTCATGTAGACACTAGCGATTCTCACTACGCTCGTGCGTCATGCATCTCCTTTACATCTCCCCCACGGGAGTCTCTCCCTTGCGTCTGCAGCGCCGTGTGCCTCTCGAGAGACTGGGGAATGCGTATAAAATGGGGGCTCATCTAGATTGTCCGGCATTGTTCAAACCATGGAAGCTGCTCGCTCCCCTTACGCACGCCCTCGTAGGCCGAACGCGGGTCGCCGCGCTAGCAACGCTGACATGGTCTTTTATGACACCCCAGGGAACCGTGCCGATGCTGGCGCTGATGACTGTGAGGATGAGGGCCCGCAGGATGGTACCAACGCTTTCACGGGCGGAGTTGTAGTTGATGATGGCGGTGATATGGAAGCGCCATCTGGCGATGACACGCACCATGAGCCGGTCGATGAGGACTACGAAGGTACGTGAATGAAGGCTCGTGCTGTACAGGCAATTGAGGTACATGCTGAACATCTAACTTCCTTTCCCTGCCCATTGCAGCTGCACGATCCCGCCAGCGTCCCGTCGATGATGTCAGTCAGGCGGCCCCGGCATCACCTGCTATCACCACGCCTGGAGGCCGCGGCCCCAGTGTCACTCGTGATGCTCCGCGTGCACCGCAGGCTCCGGCGCCTCCGGTTGACGCGGCGCTAGCGGCCCGTCTGCGCGCTCATGAGCAAGAGATTGTCGACCGCCTTCGAAACGCTGAAGCTCGTCGCACGCCCTCGCACGCGCAGCCTGTCGCTGATGCCTCGGCGGGCCCTGCACCGAGTACCAGGAGGGCAGCCCAGCGCAGTGACGCAGCGCCAACAGTGGCGCAGCCGGCAGCTGAAGACGGACCTGCCGTTCCTCGCACTCCGTTTGTTGCTCGCGTGTTAGCTCGGGAGACGTCCTCGCACGGTCGGGACAAGGCACCTACCCCCGCACTCCTGCTCTAGGCTGAGCGTCTTGAGAAGGCGAATCTCGTTATCCCGGGCCTTGACAACGGGATGAAGGTATGCCCATGTCGCAGTGATCGTATATGTTGGTTCGACGGATGATACTTGATGACATACTAACACCGGCCCCCATACACGCAGGATGTCATTGAGGACGCGATCGTCATTCTGGTGTTCGACACACGTCTGCGCCTCATGACATTCTGGACCTCCCCCGCTCTGACTGAGGCGGCTATTTGCCGCGCACTCCGCTTCACCTCGAGGGCGCAGAAGCACATGCTGCATTTGGTGTGGTCCAACGACAACACCCGCTCTGGATGGATGGTCCGGAAGATGCAACTCTTCCGGAACACTTGCTGGGAGCAGGGCAGGGCATTCGTGTACGTCCTCAACGGCCTCCCATATGACCCTCCCACGTTTTCACGCGTGACGGTGCCGCAGGGCCGCGGTGTTGCCTCCCAGACTGCGGCGCAATTCCTGGCGACCAAAGAAACTGGTATGTCCACGTTACTAGTGCTCGTGACACGGTGTACCTTACCAGGCTTACTAACGTGGAATTTTCGCCTCGCGCAGATGCTCTGTCGCACGAGCTTCACGTGTGGCACCGGGAGAACGGGCTCCCCTTCGCCACCGCCATTTTCGAGCACACCATCTACGCGTCGTTTCGACGCCCTTTCCCACCGCTGCACGTGCTCCGCACTTATGCGGTGGCGTTCTGGCTTTATGGGGTGCGTGTTCACACGATCTAAAAGCGTGTTGTATTTTCAAGCGCGACATAACGTCCTTGGTGTGTTTGCGCCCGCAGGTCGAGTATCCCCTGATCAACGGCAGCCAAATGCCGCGCTCTGCACCCCAGAACGCCGAAGGCGTGCGCTGGTACCTGGATCGAGTGAACTCCTGGGCCCGCGAGGCGATTCGCAACCAAGGCGCCGTCATTGGCCCCATCCCAAAAAATCAAGAGTCCGACTCCGATGGTGGGACGCTGCACATCGTGCGTGGGCCTTCCGCCGGGGCAGTAATGTTCTGATTTCCGAGGACGGATTCGAGGACCTTTCCCCAACGATGCCACCCAACGTCCCTGCTCAGGGTCCTGGCGACGATGACGGCGATGCGTGATGTGCCTGCATGATGTGCGTGACTCTTTTGCGCTCTGGAGACAAGTATGCTTGTGCATCTGTTTCAGCTACCTCGGGATCGTGCTGGTGTGCTTGGGATGTCGTCAATTTCTGCCTGTTTGGTTTCGCGTGGTGTGTGGTCACGATATTTTCGTGTTTGTACAAACTCGATATAGTGGATGAGTTGTGTGTGTTAAACATGATGCAGAATGTAGTAACAATACTCGCCCATGTCACATCGTTAACAAGAGCATTGCATGGCGACGTATTAATTGATGATTTGGTCCGCTTGAAGAGGCAGTGTAAAATGGCGCGTGGCATTTTCGCTATACAACACGTATCAGTGATATTAACGCTACAGTTATAATACTGTAGCATTAAATATTTTGAGCGTGAATGAGGAACACCTTTTGAAGGGATGTGACTATCACGAATATTTTGCCTTAACAGTGTATCCTGCTACGTTGATGTACACCGCAGTGCACGCCCAACGTACTATCAGGCCACCATTACCGCGGTTCGAAGTTGCTGTTTCGTTTCACCAGATACTTCACTCGTCAATACTGTAGTTATGCGCATGATGTGTGTGATTTTGTCGGACTGGCGCTGTAGGGAGTAGTCGCAAATGCGAGGGGCGCCTCGCAATGTTGTAATCAAATATCTCGGGAATACACTTAATCACACACTCGAAACTCATATCGGATTGGACATTATCAGAGTCATTTTCAGCTCACGTGGCCCACGCACGAGGGAGAGCGGGGGGCTGTGTGACGTGGACCCAATCCTTGTGCAGTGCACCAACATTCCTGTCCGGACCTGGCACGCTATCCTGGAGGAATCGTGCCAGGCAATGTACCTGGAATCCTGGGTGGATGAACATTCCACATGATAAACCACGAGCATTGGGGGCAGGGGAAAACATCAAACACTCCCATTGAAATATTTTTGCATTGTTTTTTCGAACAACATTTTGTAGAATTCTGCCAAGGAGACTCCTGCTCGAGTTGCCTGTGACGTGCCACAGAAGCGACAAAAGCAGACGACGCAGCGGAAGCTTCAGCGAAATGCTCAGCAAATGCATTCGCTGGCTGCAATTTCCTGCTTGCCTACGAAGATTCCAAAGCCTGTAGGCTCAAGGACTGTTGCGAAGGTGGCTGAGGCGAGATCTACACGCAGCAGCGTGCCAGCGAAAAGGGTTGAGAAGGATTCGTCCCAGTTGGAACAAATTCGTCTGCGTTTTGAAGTTTCAAGAATGTCCAAGACGACGTCTGTGCCTGCTGCTGCCATTGCAGCATGAGCCACGCGCAGAAGGAAGGTTGCAGAAGTAATAAGCACAGCAGAGCAGACGTTCTGCAGCTTGCTGATCTACCATACAAATTAGATTAATAGCTATAAATAGGTGTCTTTGAATATGTACATTACGTTATACAACGCAAATGCGTTTATATATTGAAATCCATGTTCAATGAAATGCCGTTTTTCATGCTGAATCACTGGAGGCCCATGAAGGACTCCACTTGAGCTCGTCTGCCAGTGGCCTGCCTCCTCACCCTCTTCACCACCTTAGAACACTCTTCCCCCTGTGATCTCAACTCTCTTCCTCTTACTTTCCATCTCTATGTCCCGTCCCACATGCCTCCCCTTTCACCTTGCTTCCCTGCTCCCCTTTTTTCTCGCATACTTTGATTTCGTAGACTTCCTTCCGAGTCTGCCTTCTCTAATATACCTCCTTGTTCTTGATCGATTCCCACTTGGTCGGGTGTGAGTGTTGTGGTCTGGTGTTTTCGGGGCAGGACCGGCCCAGACCCGACCAGTTTGTTGCCGGCCGGGTCTGGTCTGGCTGGGCCTGGTCAGTCATGTCCGGCCAGGTCTGGGCGGACACTTTCATCTTATGTGTTACCTCCCCTTTTATGGAGGTATGTAAGTTCCTGATTTATCCTCAAAACTTCAATTCCACTGTTGCTTCCAGTTGCTGTTTTTTCACAGACTCCGCCAACTGTTTTAGTCATTTTGGCCGTTTCTATAAACTAGCTCGGTGCTTGTCTGCAATGCAACGTCAGATTCAGAATGTTACGACAGATTGTTGTGTCTGAACCCTGTGACCACTCCCAATTACCGTAATTCAGTAACTGTCTCTATCGACTGATTCCTGTGACTGGCTGAATGCAAATACCTACATTCCTGACTGATCCCTGTGACTGTTTCAGGTGCCTTAATCGATCGACTGATTCATTCTCTGAAGGTCTGTGGCAGACAATTAAAGGGGATCTTTAATGCCTTATTTACAGTGAGTTGTTATTGTAACTCATTCCAGTGACATTTCTCATCCCATCTTAACCTCCCCTCTTCCCCTTTTTTGGCTCCAGGCATGATTGCAGCAAGGGGGGCTGGATACAATCGGCAGCTTAGCAGCTGAGCTCTTCAACCACAATATCAAACCCCTTGTAACCTTTGCATACTGGATGGCTGCAACCTGTGCTCTTCTTGCGCTTGCTTCATTCCTTCGCTCGCTTTCTAGTGCTAGGACTCTGTTACTCGACTCAATCCTATCTGTATTCCCTGTGCCAACCAACCATGCTCGCTGAGACTGAAAAATGCACCAGTTCTTCCTCAATGCATCTAACTCAATGTTTGTATTGTCTGATTGTCTAAATGGTACTTCCTTTCTCACTCCCTTCTAACCCGTGCCTCTCAACCCTGCAAATCGCCAACACAAGGCAGAGCCACAACAGCCCCATCCCCATCAGGAAATTCATTAGCGGCAGCAGTAAGCTGGAGAGGCCTCAACCATGTCTATGTGTATTAAAAAGGGGAAAACAAAAGGTAATCACAAAATGGCTGAAGGTGGCAAAGGAATCGAAAAGAAAACGATGACAGAACGTTTTTGCTGTTTAGGATCAGTCTTGTGCTGGGCAAGGAATTGTCCTTTTCTTACTTCAGTGACTTGATTTAGTGACTCGTAATGACATATGAAGCTTGTTTTACTTATTCGTTCCAGCTACTGATACCAGTGGCCTATTTTTGCGACTCATACTGTTTACTGATTCAAGTGACATGTTTCAGTAACTCATTCCAGTCAGTCAATGATTCCAGATACCTATTTCAGTTACTCATTTCAAAAGCTTATTCCAGTTACTTGTTCAAGTGACACAGTCAGTCATTGAGTCACCAAGGTCAGCTTGTTGAAGTGACTGGTTTTAGTCATTGAATCCAAGTGACCCATTTCAGTTGGTTTGTTCTCATCAAATATTCCAGTCGCTGATAGCAGCAGCTTGTTTCAGTGACTCAATCTCGTCTCTGACTCCAGGGACTTGTTTTGCAAGGACCTGTTTCAGTGACTCAT